CGGCTTTTCGTTTTCGCAAGCGGCCAAAACATCTAGCGCGATCGTTCGCGGGAGGACTGTGATCGCGACCTCCATTCCGTCCGGTCCGTACGGTCTCTGATCTCGTGTTGCGGCAATTCCCTCGGGAAATCTCGCGTGCACGATGACACAGATTCCGCACGCGATTCCGCACATGATTTTACATAATCGATCGATCGGCCATCAGTTGCATCCCTCATACAGCACCTCAAGTAGAACACAGAAATCTATAATAATATCATAAGGACATCAGTATGATGACTTCATTTGTCATTTATAAGTTCAGTTTAAGTATTAAATAACATAATAGTCATGATGGCGTCCTATCATATCATTATGACTTAATTATGACTCTGTGTTCTATATCTGGGACACTTTATATCCGACTGACGTCTTGGGATTAACCTAAGCAGAACAAGTCACTTTAACGTTAAGATAATGTCAAAATGACGTTAAAATGAATCGTGTATAACTGGAAAGTGACTTTTAGTGATCATTTTACAATCATTTTGACATCATTTTATTCTACTCTAGAAAAAAAAATTACATGATCGATAACTTGGGAACGTTCTTAAGATACAAGAATGTCTTCTGGATGTCTTAGGACACATCTCTTGGATGTCTATGCTGGATGGGATTGTGGATTTGTCGAAACCATTATTCGCGATACGAATGTACGACGCCCGAGCAGAGTCGAGCGGAAGTGGATTTGAAAATTCTTATCTAATCTCATAACTGAAGCAATTAATAATTGAGAAAATTCCGAGAATTTTTTACTTTATAAGATATTGATATCTTCCATGTTTTTTTAATAGATGGGACGCTTACATCTGTAGATTCTGCACGAATAGATTTGTGCGTAAAATACTATCGCGAATTATTTCACAGCGAAATTTGACGGATTATCGAACTCCTTAATGGCGAACGATTAGTTCGATTACGACTGTTTAATAACATAATTAATTTTGTTCTCCGCCCTGAAGCGTAGAAATCGATATGAGGACTTTCTGTATACAAACTCTATAATTTCTATAATCTTCATACATTTTGAATTTTTAATGTAAAGATAATAAAGGGAACTTAGAAATATGAATCCCATTTTTTAATACTAATATTATTACGATTCATTGAGATGACATCCGCGTTTTAACAATCTGCCCTCTGAATAATTCAATGCGAAAACTGTCAAGATGTACTATGAAATATAATCTAAATTATTTTACTTATACTGTTGCTTATTTCGAGCTAGCGGAATTATTTAAACACAAAGAACAAAGTTTTCAGTTTTGCTAAGTAATTATCCGATTCATAGGTGTTTTACAACATAAAGAGACAAGATTCTATCCGTTGATTATTCCTGACGTGAGAATATGTTGTACAAAACATTGCATGTCAATCTTTTTCCGAATGAATAATTTCGTCTAACTTTTTATATCACTTAAAAAAAAAATAAGCAATTTATTTTCTTTTATTTTGAGGAACAAGCTAATGTGTAGCAAGTGGAGCGATCAATAACCTCGATCAAGTGAAATACATATATGATTATTCATCGTTGATTACTAATTAACGAAGTCACAAATTTCCATTTTTTGAATGGTTCTCAAGTGGCGCGATCAATAATCTTGAGCAAGTGAGGTACACTGATTTATCGTTTATTTTTATGTACTAACTAATAATAAAGTTACTAATTTTCGTTTTTTTTAATGAGTAAACGTCATTTTTACTATCGCTTCTTTACCTCATTCAGTCGGCGTCTTCGACTTGAATCGACGAGGCAGAATTGGGAGTAGAGCGAGCAGAATTTACGCATTCGCAAGAGTCTCGTTTGTAACTCCTGCTCGGAGTTACGAGTGAAATTCAATTTGCCCATGTGTATGGCGTACATTGTATATGTACGTACCAGAATGGTTCAAGGCCGCGTCGTCGATTCATGGTCGGCTCGGCGAATTGCGCGATGGCATTGCCAGGCATTGCCCGATCGTGCCGTGCGACTGCTTTCGAATGAAAAATTCAGTGGCTGTAACACGTAAGCCGTACGACGGACACGAGACATCGGAGGACTTGAATCTCGACGGGTGGTCTGACCCTCCGGAACGTTATCTCGAGAAGGTCCCGGCCTGTATTGGTTTCGAATTGAAAAGTACTGATACTAGAGAGAGAGAGAGAGAGAGAGAGAGAGAGAGAGATTGCCAACTCGAAAACCGTGTATTTTTTATATACCTCAGATAGATCTCTTAGATTCACAGTTAAAACAGTTTTATTCACACAATTATAAAACGGTTTTTGATCGTTTTTTTTTTTCGTGAGTAATCTTGTTGGACATGACCAACTGACCAAGATTCATGTCTGCTTGTTACATTTTTTTACACAAACGGTTAAGAATATTTTGGCTGTATAATATGTATTAATTAAAAATATCAATTAAAAAATCAGTTAAAGAGTCAAAAAAAATTTTGTTATAAATGCGTCTTGAAACCAACTGTAAAAAATAAAACAAATATGTAATTTTGATTTTATACAGTGAAATAACCGCAATATTTTACTGCAATTTTAGATAAAAAATTTTTAAACGTAACTGGAATAAATGAATATTTGCGTGAGTGTTTATTAGCTTGTTTATATGTACATATGTATACTAATTGATTTAATTTGTAATGTAACGATTTTTTCTTGCAAATAAGTACGAAACGCAATTTTACATAAAAATCAAGACAAACAAAAAAATTAAATAACTTTTAATCCAATAAGAGAATTGTGTTCAAATTTTATACAGATACTAAATCGTAATAATAGAATAGTCTATAAAATTTTTATATTTTTAATAATATGAAGAAAAAACGGTCTAAATCGAGCGATAAGATTTTTTTATAAAATAAATTTCTAGGTTACAATATTAATACAACATAAAAATAAAATATATAAAATATATGAAAAATATAAAATAAATATAAAAATAATATTGAACGTTTCGGAACTCACGGATTCTTCTTCAATGATTCTTATCGATGTTACAATGTCTGTTTTGTAACACTTGCGCTTAACAGAATCGCTGAAGAAGAACCCGTGAGTTCCGAAACGTTTGATATTATTTTATATTTTTATAACTAATAAGAAGAAACAGGGCTACGAGCCAATAAATTCGTTAAATTCTTTAATTTATTCTAATATATTGAGACAAAGATGATGACTCCTTTTATCTCCTCATGTGGAGCATAGGACGACGTCTATAGACCTCTTCCCCTTTTGTCCGAGGCCTATATTCATTTCTCGAATCAGATTGTTTTTCGAATTTGTGGGTGATTGATCCACAGAATCCTACCTTCAGTCAGATATTAGAGACAAATATCTACTGATATATACTGATGTATACACTGATGTATAGGACCGACAATTTAACGCCGAATCCGAACGGCGCTGATGATCATAGATCTTTTGATCACCAGGTGGAGCCATTTTTTGGCTCATTAAACGCGAAAAATCGCGTTTGGGCGCACGTGGGATTGAAACTCGGGTCTACACATCGCGAGTCAATCGCACCGAGCGGTGAGCCACTGGACGCCTTATATTGCAAAGAATATTTCCTAATTTTGGCGTTTCGTCCCGGCTTCCACTACTGAACTCATCAGAAAAGCATTGTAGTGGAAGCCTACCTTATACGCCTGTAAGAGTTATTCAATCGAGATTCTATACAAAGAGATATACGCGTATCAAAGCACTTGTGAGAATTTGCGAATATCGATAGACCTCGGATGGCGGGTCGACGTAGCAATATTCTTTGCAATATTTATCCATAGTAATATATGTATTGCCCCCACTCTCCCCAACTTACGCGCCGAACAATCGTCGGTCTTGAAACGCAACTCTAATAATCTGAAATAACGTCCCCTTAATCAAATTGTGATTTTAAACGCATCATTTCGCCCGCATGAATTAAAATGTAGATTGGCGCGCAATTTGGGGGGCTTTTTCATTCACTTAAGGATATATATGTATATCCTTAAGTGAAGAAAAATTTCCAAGAACTTGGCGATTTTAGATTCTTGTCGATTCTCGCGGATACAAGTGTACATTCATACAGCTTTATTAGATTAGATTAGATTAGATTAGATCAATATTTTCAATTATACGTATTTCATGCAATTGGAAATGCCAGTATCTCATTTTTTTCGTTTTTTTTATTCTGATAATAATTTTTATATCCATTATATAAAAAAAAATATTAAAAAATTAAAAAATTAAAATTATATTTTTTATATAAATATTAAAAAATTTTAATAACAAAATTTCTAGTTCTTAACACCTGAACCTTATGAAAGAGAGAGAGAGAGAGAAATTCTTATGTATTTTACTCTGTAAAATAAAAAGAATTGTAAATTATTTAAAATACAATTTTCAAAAGTGATATATTAAAGTAAAAAATTTATTAACGATCTATAAAAAGAAAATTATTTATACTAAATATTAGTTATTTATAATAAATATTTACAACTTTTTTTTCTTACTTTATGAAGTGAAATACATAAAAATTACCAATCAATGTAACTCTTTGCTATTAAATATTATTAATAAATTTTGTTATTTTAATGCATCACTTATAATTGTATTCAAATAATAAAAGAAGCTTTATACCATGTTTATTTACACATATTGTAAAAAGATCTTATACTTCTTATATTATAGCTATATTTACATATATTACAAATTTGCGTTAATACATGAGAAATTCAAAGCAGAATTCTTAAAAATTGAAAAATTGCAAAATTTTTTGAAAAATATATCCTTTTTTTAATGTAAAAGGTTCTACAAGAGACATCGTTGTTAAAAAATGAAAAAAATCAACATTTTTTTCGCTTATTATTTTAGAAGAAGCGGTGTCTTAAAATAATTTTGTACCGTTAGTGACACGTCATGAATCTCATTATTGCGTATTTTGTAGGAACCGTTGGATGTCTCCGATAAAAATCTCTTTCTTTCATTTTCAGGAGGAGAGGAGGCTATCACCTGAAAGTGGGTAGTAGACTTTGCTCCGGATTTCCGTCCAAAATAGACCCGAGGACAGTTTACACGGCAACATGTCTATTATAATGCAATATATAGACCGGTTCCATAATATGCTGGACAAACACGCAGGTAATTATTAATGGCAGACAAAGTGCGAGAACCCGTTGAAGGAAATCTCCGGAATTTATATATTATAATTCTGAATAGAGTAATTTTTGAATTTGGTTAATAAATGACAAAAAATTGGCTGTCTCGTAGTATGTCAAGTGTATCTAATGACATCACTGACATGTTATAATTGACGATTACGTCGTTGCACGATAATTTCGAGAGTCGCGATAGATGGACACCGTGCGGTATTAGAGTCCTTCGGATTTACATAATTGACGCGCGAAAAACAAAAATGTAAATAGCAGATGGTGATATCATTGACGAGCATTATGTCCTCTTTTTCTTAACAGTTCTTAGATAGCTCCACGTGGATCATCTCGATGATATTTATTTAAGAACTAAAATGTCTCTACATCTCTTTAATTTATTATCGATTTTTTCATAAGTTATTTATGAAGTTTTATATATAAAAAAAGAAGAAATTTTGTATTACTTCAACTTATATGTCAAGAAAGAACTTACAGTTTTACTTATAACTACACATTTATCCATACCTTATAATTATTAAATAAATTAGAATCCGCTCCCCATATATTATTTTTATCTACTAAATCTAAATACATACTTCTATCTAAACTTGTATATATTTCTCTATCCTACATATCCTAGTTATTTTATTTTAGTTTTTACGTTATAATTTACATATTATAATTGCACAATTTTCATGTAAAAACTAGTCTTTTTCTACTTATACTAGTCTTAAAAAAAAAAAACTATTTTTTTCTTATGAACTTATATACCTTGTCTAATAATACATTTTTTATAATTATTCCACACCCAAATCCTTATCTATACTTCTTTCTCTTCTCTTCACGTTTTAATACTTTTTTCCACAGCCTAACTCTTTGTTAAATTTATTGTTTTTCTTCACAATTTCCTTAAAACATTGCCTTTTATAAAAATAACTAAATTCACAACTTACTCCATATTATACCTCTCTATCGATCCTCTAATCTACAAACCATCTTTGTATGTGTGTGTGTGTGTGTGTGTGTGTGTGTGTGTGTATGTGTGTGTGTGTGTGTGTGTGTGAGAGAGAGAGAGAGAGAGAGAGGAGAAGCTTTATAGTTATATTTCCAAAAAGTCTGGCGATGCATGATTTCTCTTTCGTATCCTGAATTCTTTTGCATAAAAAAAAATACGAATAAAATTTGCTTGATTCGAGTTCGGTATACACGCATATATATCGGATCTTCTCACAAAGCACTTGAGAATACGGAAAATAGGTCTTTTTCTACGCATATTTGATCACGTTTTACTTACATCCTGTGTAGCGAGTCTCAAAATATGTGCACGGTATTTGTCAATGTTATTTTATCGCATTGCAGTCGTGTTGCGCGAAATGGAATGAGTGATTGTCAGAAGACTGTTTCCTTGAGACCATCACTGTCCCACTTTGGGCGCAGCAACGAAATGTTACTTTGATAATCGCGGCGTCGTGTGAGTAAAGTGGAGTAATTCTTTATTCTGTACAGACGGCTGGCCGGCTGCGTCGTGCCGTCGAGTTGTCGCAACGCGGGAGCTTCTTTTCGCAACTCACAGGTCATACCGACGAGAGGAATCCGACTCTCAATTTCACGGCATGATTAACGATCTAATCGATTAATGTTTATCTCTTGAATCGTCGTTCGATCATTGAGAACAGTCTGTGTTTACTAACACGCCAATTAACGTTCCGCGATTAACATGAAAAAATTACGCGAAGATATAAAAGTGCGTTGTTAACATTATTAACATGTCACGATCGCTCGATTATTCATTCCACCGGAAATTTGCATGCGCGGAAGGTGAGAATTGCTTGATCTGCGTACACAGGCAAAAAGATGATTATACTGAGTAAAACGATCGCGATAAAAGAAAACTTATGCAGCTTCCGAGTTTCGCATATATTTTCACTCTTGGATGAACATAAAGAAAAGGTATATTTGTACAGTTTTTGAAGACTTTTTTTCTCTATATCTGTTATACATGTATATATATTTAAAAATAGAAAGAATATACAGGACTCTTAGTATTTAAAAACAAATAAAAACATAATAAAAAAATGTGTATAAATATATATAAAAACAAAGAAAGAATAAAGCGGGGAGCACAGACTCAAAAAACGTAAAAAGAAAGAGTCAAAAAACGTAAATACAATCTACAGAATCATCACTTTTTGTAGATTATGGCCCGTATTCAGAACGCACTTTTATCGATAAAAGCGCGCTTTATCTCTGAAATTCTATAGTATACGTGACGTAAACTATAGCATGTTAGTGCGCTAACATCGTTGTTAGCACGTTCTGAATACGGGCCTATATTTACGTTTTTTAAACTCTTATTTGCCTTATTCTTTCTTTGTCTTTATTGTATACACATTTATACAAATTTTTTTATCATGCATACATTTTTTTCTAAAATATGTGTCTAGACTTTTTAAATGAAAATGATATTACTGATTTTGCATGAGTTAGTTTTTTTTATAAAAATATTTTTGTCCTGGCAGACTATGAATAAATTTTTCTTATTTGTATTTTTTAATTATACGATAAAGCTGCTCTGTCATGAATGCCAAAACAACGTCTAATATATGCAAATATGTAATTCTTATTCATGTCTTCCGAATTGTACAATCTTTGCGAGCATAAAATAAAATCAGAGACGTTTACCACCGTCTGTTCGGTGGAGAATCTTAAGGAACACCCACAGAAATACCGATCATTTACTTTTTCCGTATTGGAGAAATCAAGGGAAGGGTAATTGAACCGTTGAAGGACAATGAATAGCGAAAAAAAAAAAACGCTAGACATCCCTGAAATGACATGGAGCAGTTTTTTTAAAGCGACACCGAAGGACGAGCGGTTTTTACCGTCGTTAAATCATGGTCAGTGGATTATACTATTATTCACATAAGAGGGAAAGAGAAGAGAGAGAGAGAGGGAGAGGAGAGAAAGGGAGAGGGAGTGGGAGGAGAGAGAAAGAGAGAGAGAGAGAGAGGGAGAGAAGTCGGTATTTATTTAGCGCTCTGGGACCAAGTCCCCTCAAGCGCTTTAACCTTTTAGAAAATTAATACCATACCTAATTGATTATGTACAGAAAGATTCGAGTGATCGCAATGGAATGAGTATATGAAATGTGCATGAGTGTATGCAAAAGTGAGAGAGACAGAGTGATTGAGAAAGAAGATAATCGCTTTATTGTTGTTACTACATCTGTATATTGTTGCATATGGTATTATATTGTTTGTAATGAGGTCGTCTCCTATTTGATTGTAATTGTTCCAAGAAAGAATCAACTGCTGCGGAGAGAATCAATTGGATGACTGACAGAAGTTTAGACTTGGCAATTTTAGTATCGATTTTTTTGTCGAAATGTGTTATATTTTTAATATTATACCGGCTAATGACGACACTATATTTTTCTTATGTACGGTAATATAATCTCAGATATTAAAATGCTAAAAGTTGCTTGCATAGAGAGAGAAAGAGAGAGAGGGGGGGAGAGGGGGGAGAAAGAGAGAGAGAGAGAGAGAGAGAGAGATTGTTAGTAAATTCTCTATCAAATTTGCACTACAGATTCATAGAAATCTGTGTCGCATTAAGCTCAGGATTTGTCGGTAGAGTCTGTTGACATACTGTGCACCAACTGGTGGAAGAAATCGAGCAGGATTTGCGTGCGCGGGTAACCCAGCAAGAGCTACAAATTCTGTTCGGTTTCCGTCGCTAATCTAATGACACAGTCAACAAGATTTGTCTTACTGACGATCTTTTGCCAACATTGTCAAATGTTACAAATTTTACGTGAAATTCATAGCTCTTCTGCTTTTAAAAATTGATAGCATATTTTGCTCACAAATTAGTAGCATACTCTGCTCAAAATTTGTTTCTGCAGGCTTGATCATTTGGAATGTAACCGAGGAATCTAATAGAGAATTCGGTTGCATTAGTGCATATCATACACTAGCCAGTTCATACACTAATTTAATTTAAGTGTAACAGTGAAATGCAGATATTTCAAATTATAAAATACATATTTTATAATTTAATTAAGTGTGTGTATCGAAGATTTTGTGGTTTAATCCCTTTCTGTATTTATATTAAACACATATTTTTATCTCAATTTGTGTACGACGGTTTTAATGTGAACCAGTGCACATGGAGTGCGTTCAATCGAATTTGCTATTAAATTCCTTGGTTACATTCCAGATAGCCAAGCCTGTAGAAACAGATTTTGATCAGAGTATGCTGCCAGTTTTTTAACAGAGTACCTATCAATTTCTAATGATAGAAAGGCAATAAATTTTATATAGAGTCTGTAATATTTGACAATGTCGACAAACTACCGTTAGAAGTATTAAACCTGTTGACATACTATACCAATAGATTGGTGGTAGAAATGGAACAGGATTTGCAGTTCTTGTTCGATTGCTTGTGTATGCAAATCCTACTCGGTTCTTCTGTTATGTTTTTCAACAGTTCGTTCGGCACAGTCGAGAAGCCAAACGGATAAAATGACGTTGCATCGCCAAATTCTACGGTTTTTTTTTTAAAAAAAAGATTGAAGTTTCAAGGTTATTCTCAATGGTTTTTAGAGGAGTCTGATGTTTTTTTCAGACACAAGGACAACTAATTGGCTATTGATGAGTTCACCTTTCCCCACACTGTTGATCTGTCTCAGCTATGTCTATATCGTTAAAGTACTCGGACCGAAGATCATGGAGAATCGGAAACCCTTTCAGCTAAAGAACACTTTGGTAGTCTACAATTTGTTCCAAGTGATCTTCTCCGCATGGCTCTTCTATGAGGTGAGATCTCGTCACTCGTTTCTTCGCGATACCAATTATTCAATGCTCGATGAATTAGATGTTCGGAAAAGATTTTACTGGATGAATTTTTCAGGATATATAAAAAAATCAAACCGTTCCTGTTTTATTTCAGCCGTTCCTCAACTGGTCGATTATTTTATTCGGAGCAAATATTTTTTCTTTATTATAATCCAACTTTTAGATTTTCAGAAAGAAGCTTGCAACAAATATTTGGAAATCAAATATTTAAACGTCCGATAAATTTAGATTTCTATTTTTGTTTTCTTTCTTATAGATGCCTTATAGATAATGATTTCATGTAATTCGGTATAAAATCAGTATACAATCTTTAGGACATATTATAATTCTATAATGCAATAACTTTCTTGAGTAATCTCATAACACTAGTTTACAAATTTTGAATAATTTTTAATATAAGAAAAAGAAATAATATTTTTTGACGTATTTTGAGTTGAAATCTCCCAATTTGACACTTTTGATTTGTTTTCTAATTTTAATAAAATTTCATTATTATATGTATTTGGGAGAAAATGTCTTCTTATATTTCGAAACTAAATTTAATAGAAATATGAATACAAATAAAAAAGATCCTCGTTTAATAAATAAAAATATAATAATAACGTAAAAAATATTTTTTTTTATTTGATAGAAATATTTTTATGGTTGATTTGGCCTCAGTGTCGAAAATTATCCTAATCTTTATATTAGTATAATATATTCTTGCCCAAAACTAGTGTAATGAATCTTAATTACCTACGCATATTTTTGTCGATTCTCTCTATTTATATTCGATTCAAAGATTCATTAGCTAATCTCATATCGGCTTTTGAACTTATCGTTAAGTTCACTTTGGCGACACAGATATTCATCGCGATATGGTCGAAAACGAATGATAACGGTCTGAGGATACGGTACGCCGCTGTTTACAGTTGCACGATCTAACAATTTCATGATTTTAATGCTGGCAGCCACTGGAACGCGTAATGACGTCTAGTGAAAACTTTCTATCTTAATAGTTGCGATTATGTTTGATTACATCGCCCGCAAACGAATACGTTTGTCATTGGTGCATTCCCCATGCAGTTGACAATAAGTTTGTATCTCGTGACTACACAAAAAGGGAACAGCCAACGCCTTTTAACCCTCTAGAGACATATGTTGCATATTTATAACGTCCACTGTAAAATTATTATAAATTTGAGATCTGTATAATATTTTTTAATTAATTCGAAGCTGTATATCGAAAATTTATTATAGCTACCAATAGATTTTTCATTCATAAATAATTTTTTAGCAAAAACAGTAAAAAATAATTTTTTAATGACAAGATAATGCTAAAGGGTCAATCAAGGGCCCTTCGATGCCTTTGGACGTAATTATCAAAATTGAAAAGTTACGATGTTGGGACATTCTGTACTGGTATAATATTTTTTAACATATAATTAAATTTATTATATTTCGAACGAGTTCTCCTATACTTGTCTCGACAAGAATTGAGCAACGAAAATATATTTGTAATTTCGACGATTGATTTCGTACCACGGGAATGCACCAATGGCAAAGATGTATGAAGCACGATTGTACGTTTCTTTCGCAACGCAGTGTCTGATGGGCGGATGGTGGGACCACTATAGTTTCCGCTGCCAGCCGGTGGATTATTCCAACAGCCCCACCGCGATAAGGGTAAGTGTGCCTAATCGATCTAACCCCAGCTGGACCGTTCAACGAGACTGCCTCTCAACTGCTTCAACGAGACGACTATTGCAACAGAAATCACCGAACCGCATCGGGTCCGCCTGATATCATGGATACTCATTTATAAATATATTTACTTTTGTAGATCGGCCGTTCCTTACTCGGAGCGGAGGCTTGCGGCGGGGGCAAATATTTCGTGGAGGCATATGATTTAGGCGTCCACAAGAGCTTATGCTTCCTTTTCATTTAGTATAAAGAGCCTGGCATGTTTCTCCAGTGTCTCGAGCTAATCTTTCTTCGCTTCGATATCCGCTAACTCGGCTCTCGATAAAAACTCAAACGCTGACAAATCAGCTGTGTGTTGAACATATGTCGCTACTCCCTTCAGGGAAGAATCGCAATTGTAAAATCGCGCATTTTTCAATCTTTACTGATTTATTCTTTAATTGAAAGAATCTTTCCGTTTCTTTACGTTTCTTTCGCGAATAACTCCTTTCCAATTGTAACTTCTTTTCCCGTTGAAGGTATAAAGTGCGGCTTCACTCAACATTCTTATGCGAGAGTTCGACGCAAATATTTTACATAATATGCATAGAGAGTAGTTGTTAAGCTTGTACATCCGCCATGTACGCCTATTTTCTTACTTTTTTTTATTGACCAATGGCGAATGGCCTTTGGGCGAATGTGGTTGCAGATAGGGATATCCGGATGGCTGACTGGAGACTATTCTCTAAGATGTCAACCTGTAGACTACAGCGACAGACCCGAAGTACTGAGGGTGGGTGAACTTTCGTGATTAACAGAGTTATCCTCTTACCATAATCTCTTTCATATTTACATCTAACTTTGCTTTATAAAACCGGTCAATAAATTCGAAATTTGATCGAATGAGAAAGATATAATTTTTATGATCTCGTTAATTGATTTATTGTTGAATTGACTTCACATGATTCTTAGAATATTTTTCATTTTAATTAATCAAAATGGAAAAATATTTCAAATTTGATTAATTAAAAATACTTTATTCAATTATTGATTGAGCCAAGGTAAATTGATAATTGTTACCGATTGAAAAAATACGAGGTGTGTACAAAAGTCACGAGGTGCTATATCAGGTAAATAGGAAGGGTGGTTCATGATAGTGATATTGTTTTTGGCCAAAAATTTGCGCGTAACGAACGCGGTGTGCGAAGGTGCATTAATTGTCTTAATGTAGGATCCACCCACAATCCGAGACGTGTACATCACACACGTTTACGTAGACACTTCAAGACTTCAACATAGAATTTTGCATTAACAGGTTTATCTTTTGGAACATATTCATGATGAACTCCACAAATATTGAAAAAAAAGCTATGAGCATGACTTGATTTTTGAACGATTTTCGCGCCCTTTCTGTACACAGTTCTACGCTTCTCATGGCAGACTCAATATACACCATTTCCAACATTTGAAGAATTTCCTGGCCATTTTTGCAAAATTTTACGAGAAATTTAATGTTGGTTCGTTGCTTGATTAAATTGTCACCCTCCATTCCGCCGATACGACTAAAAGTACGTTAATAAAAAACAGACATAAAAAACAGAGATCTCACTCGACCGTGACCAAACTTTTACTAAGGACACGTGAGACCTTCCCTGAGACGTTGCACCGCCTTATAGCGTTGCTACATCGGCAGAATAAAATCCAGTGCATGAACTTTTAGTACACACCTCGTATTCCAAGAACTTGTGATCTTTTTCTCATGACCGGTTCTATACGCAATAATCTATGTGCTAAGAAAAGGGCCAAAGTATTTAGTATAGTAATTAGTAGAACCTTACAGAGTTCAAGCGATAAAGTTTAACTGTAGTTAGCGGCCTATGTGATTAACATTGTTTAACATGCGCTATATAATATATCATTACGTCAAACGATAACGACCGTGAAATTATGTAGACTCTCATTTACATACTATTGCGCCACATTAATTTCTATCATCGCACCTTATACATACTGTGACGCACTCTATCAGTGACGATTTTCACGGACTTCTCGTCGTCTCGGATACACTACCGGGACACGGGTGTTCTTGCGAAATGCTTTTAATACGCACTCCTGTGAAAACTGGTTTTTAGAATCACTTAATAAATGTGTTTATTTTTTTGTCTGTTATCCTGTTCACGTTAACGAGATAATTATCTACTTTGAGTCAATTCACTTTTACAAATTGCTGTATTAACGCAATTTGTACATTCTTTCTTTTTCTCTTCGTCTTTCTTCCCTTTCTTATTCATATTTGTGTTTTAATGAAACTAATTTTTAATTTACTTCCAATCATAATATGTAAAGAAAGTGTTTAAATCGTGTGTAATAAAAATCGAAAGCAAGAATCCTGATCTTTGACAGGAATGTAAAGGATATGTAGAGGAGCCTCTCATGTTTGAGGATAAAACCGTTTCGAGTAAAGCCAAAGAAAATTTCATGTATAGAATCGAATTCAGAAGCTTTTCCTAATCGATATTTCGAAATCGCAGATGGTCCACGCAAGCTGGTGGTATTACTTCTCGAAATTTACCGAATTCATGGACACGGTACGTAAAATGATCTAAATGTTCCCCTTCTTATACAGGGATGTGTGATTTATATTCCACGGGGCTAATCGTATGCATTTTTCTTCCAGATCTTTTTCGTGTTAAGAAAGAAGAATAATCATGTATCCACGCTACATGTGATCCATCACGGTTGCATGCCCATGTCGGTCTGGTTCGGTGTCAAGTTCACACCAGGTAAGTAGATAAATAATTGTTTACACAATTCCTTACGTATTGATTTGTTGCAAAATCTCAGTCGATTTTGCAAAACTAATTTGTGTCAATGTCGCGAAAGCGATCCTTCGCATGCCCCCAGCAAAGAGTTTTCCTTATACATACATATGGATTGAAAAAGATTAATACATTGTTACGAGAACGAAGACGATGACTAGTTTTTTATTTAGCAAAAATTGTTATTTTTATATACATACCATCGTCTTAGAGCTCACTTGTCACATTTGGAATTTAAATTTATGTACGTTTCGATAAGGTTTTCGGAAACTCAATGATACAATCTGTTTGGCTAAATCGCAGACCTGTGTTATTCATTTTTATGAGAAAATAACTGTAATATTTGCTAATTTAGCAATTAATTTGCAAAAAGATATATATCTTGAATATCGATTATCGGATAAACTATTTGGATGTAATTTAATACTTTTAATGAGTCGTATTTCTTTGAATTAGTCGCAAATAATTTTGAGAATGCGATTTGTTGCTCTTTTTCAAGTAAAAAAAAGCGACAAACAACTTTGATGTTTGAAAACGAATAAATTACGAATACAATTTCGTACTAATTTCTGTTGATGGTCATTCTTTCAGGTGGCCACTCGACCTTCTTCGGTTTGTTGAACACCTTCGTCCACATCGTGATGTATACGTATTATCTTCTGGCGGCGATGGGTCCAAAGGTGCAGCCGTACCTCTGGTGGAAGAAGTACTTGACCGCCTTCCAGATGCTGCAATTCATCGCCATCATGGTTCACGCCTTCCAGTTACTCTTCATCCAGTGCAATTATCCAAAGGCGTTTGTCTGGTGGATCGGTCTGCACGCCGTGATGTTCTTCTTCTTGTTCAAGGAGTTCTACCAGCAAAGCTACCAAGATAATAAACCCAGGAAACAGGATAGAGCGGCAATGATGAATGGCGTCGCCAAGGACGATCATCAATCGAAGGGCAAACATGCGAATGGCATCGCGAATGGCGTTGCGAATGGCGTCGCAAACGGCGTCGCGAACGGCGTCGCTAACGGTTTCGCAAACGGCTCCTCGCCCAGGAGAAGGGATGCTGCCGATTATTATGTGAAAGGCGAAAGCCTAGCGACGGAGCTCAATCTCCGAAAACCGTTCGCAACGAAAGTAGAGTGACCCTCGAGCGAGTGCATAGCCTAGTCGATCTTCTCTCGCCACGACGTCGTTTTTCATTTTCTTCCGCGGAATCGCCGAAGGATTAGCGGGTCTTCTTCCCTCTGTCTCTTTCTTTATCTTTAATTTGCTGTATTATTTGAACACAAAGGGTTGAAGGCCCTACCGAGATCGACGCATCTATTGAAAAAGAAAGAGTACAAAATTACGTCGCACGTATTCGGCTCGCGGTATACAGCGTACGTTGACGTACTTGTCGTACTTCATCGACGATTCGATACTTTTCTAGCGCGATGGTTTTCCAGCTAGACCCAGGCAGTCGCGCGCGACCGTAATCCGGCGACTGATGCAGAAGGATGCTTGGGTATCAGATTACGCATTAAAGAATGAAATTGAAGATTGAAGTTTGACCGATCAAAATAAAAGAAGCCTCTTTGTCCTCATTAGTGAAATCAATCTTCAATGCATAATCTGTTTCCGACCTAGACGGATCGTATCCTGCTGCTCCCTCATCGCAAATGGAGCTGGGAAAAAGAGCGATTTTTTAATCGGGTTACACGAAACATTTAGATATAAATAATTGTGTGTTTTCAGCGATCTTAACAATAATTTACGCCACTTTCCAAGTAAATGGTTCTCATTAGGCGACAGGTTTGCGAACGGACTTTGCGTGGCTCAGGTCGCAATTGTATTATAGAAAAAAAAGGAGTTCTGAAAATGATGTAGATCAAGTTGCAAGATGTAATCTTTGTAAATTTTCAAGAGATCTACGACATTTACAGAACATACATTATCCTTCTAACTTACTTTTAACGATACTTGCATTAATCGTGAATTATTAGCAGTCCTTCGCTTCGGCAAAATCATGAATAATCCGGTGGAAAATAGGAAGATAAGATCGACGAATAACCGATTCAAATTACAACTAAAAAAAATTATCTTTTCCGGGTATTCGGTGATTCTGTGGCAAAGGAATCACCGCGACGACATTCCTTATAGATCAATTTAGCAATTGGAAATTATCATTTTCAATTCACTTCTCCTTTCGATTCACTTTCTCACATTATTCGACGCGATATAGAAGATGTTCTCTCCGGTTTGACAAAAATAAACTCTTGTCAAGGTTTCACGATCACACTCTCCTAATCTTTCGAAAATTCGCTAACTGGCAGCGTGACTTCAGTGTTGCATAAATAAATAACGCGGATGTAGATACCGGTAAATCATAATAGCAATTTGGCGCGATACTGTTACGCAATTAACCGAGAAATCTTTTCGTTTGCATTTCGATGACTTGCCACTTAAAAACATGCACGGAACTGGTGACCTTAACTGATCAAGTCGCGGACTTTTATGTGAAATTTCTCGATTATGTAAAAACGCAAAAGGCTTTAAAAACGCTTTCAGAAGCGAAGGATAGACGAAAATCACGAGCTTTAACTAAATGTTTTATAAAATCACGCATATTAGTGTCAATATTTATCATGATTCTTCAAGAAAGAATAAGTTTTATAATTGTAATTTATGATTCTATAGTATTTTGTATTTATGATTATGTAGAAAATCTGCATTCTATGATTATATAAAAAATCAAAAGTCTTGAAATTGAACGGATTTATTGGATCGCTGCAATGAGTCAATTTAGAGTCGGTATTCATAATCGGTTCGTATTTCAAGATCGACTTAAGTAATCTCTTAAGATGCTAATACTACTCTGTGGCCGGTATTCATAGTCAGTTCTTATTTGAAGACTGTCTTAAGTAATGCCTTAAGATGCTAAAGCGTCCCTCTGATTGGTTCGTAACTCATCAAGACTGAACTTAAGACGATCTTGAATATAAGAACTGACTATGAATACCGGCCTGTGACTGGTATTTATAGTCGATTCTTATATTTGAAATTATCTTAAGTACAATTTTAAGATGTCATAATTAGAGAGCTGTATTAACATCTTAAGATATTATCTACGACGGTCTTAAGAACGGACTATGAATACCGGCCTATATCCATTCTAATTAATTTGCGAAAGTACTATCGACTTGACTGTTCGAGTTTCAGGGCGGTATTCATACTCCGTCCTTATTTTAAGACTGTTTTAAGTAATGTTTTAAGATGTTAATAAGGTCTCTGATTGGTTCATGACATTTTAAGATTGTACTTAAGACTGCTTTAAATATAAGATCTAACTATGAATATCGCCCTTAAACGTTTATGTGGGAGCAAAAAGGATACGATTATGCTAGCATGCCTTTTAAAAATAGGCATGCCTTTTGCTCAATACTTAAAGCTCAAAAGCATCGGTTAGAAATGCCAGTAACCGACTTCTGTGATTGTGCATACGTCGACTCGCGAGAGGGACTCTCGACATCCCTTTTCCTTCGCGCGCCCAGCCGCCATGCCGATGTCCGGTCCCGGCATCACGACGCTTTCCACATTATGGATGTGCCGATGCTCGTCGCGGATACTCGTCGTCTCGGTTGTACTATTTAACGTGCGCGGGAAGCGTGCGAGGATTTCGCGTTTGTGATCGTTAGCTCCTTCAGTTGAAAAGGGTTGAATATATTATGAATCTCCTTTTGCTCGATAGCTGGACTCTTACCGACAAAAATTCAAATTGACGAATTTAAGCGGGCGATGTCATTATTCAGTATAATCGGATAAGATTACGATCGCTAAAGTTTAAAATGAAATAGAAAAAAATAAACGAATTTAAAAAGAGAGTAATAGATGTTACAAAATTAGATTATCTCGAGTATATATTAAGAAGATTCAGAAATTGTAGTTTCGCAAAATAAGTTTCTTTTATTTCTCACGCTTAAAATTACAGATGAAGAAAAATATGTAGATAAGGCGTTGTTTAACCTTCTGCTTTTACTGTCTATTCATTATGATCTTATTAAATATTGTATGTCAGGTTTTTACGTTCTTCCCGAAGCTGAAGTCGACTAAAACCGCGACAATCGGTAAATTATACCTATCTCGCTCGCTTCGCGCGCGTCTTGTATGTAATACATAGCGTCTTGTACATAGGTAGGCTAGTTTTATATGCTACTAAAGAAGAGTCCGAGGAGTGCGACGGCCGTGCCACACTTCAAGGCAATTAAAAATAAAAAAAAGATTCAAGTTCAGGGGCTAATTTATATAAATTCACATGTGCATATGTGTATATATAATATATACATATATAGTATATGTATATATATATATATATATATATGTATACACATACACATATAATGCAGAAGCTGTATAAAATCGCACATTGGGGTGCATGACCCTTATAGTTGCGGCTTACGTACATAAGGAAAATGAAAAATCAAGAGACCGTCTTGAATTTTCGACTTCTTGGGACCTTGTTCCGATTACTGCCCTTCTCGTTTGAATGTTCTTGAGTCTTCTGATTCAAGTAATGTAGATTGCAATAACCGTAATTGAAGAGCTTGTTTCCAAATGAAATATGTTCTTAACCTATTCTTTTATCCCTCGCAAATAACAAAAGAATATACTTTTACATGTTTATTGGTGCCATTTTCCATTAATAATGGAAGAAAAATGATTTTAAAAAAATTGTACTCGAGTTGCATTGATAACGAGCTCTTCGACCGTGATCTGTTATGTGTGTATCTGCAATAATTGATGCGTGTACCATATGTGAGCATTCGCAAGAGGTTATCTACATAAAACAAAATTTCGAAATTTTGTTAAAAAAATTTTAGCTTAAAAGCATGAAGCCGTTGACGGCTGATTTTTTGTTAGATATTATTTAATATACGATCGCTGGATGGAAAATGCTAAATGCACGTGTATGGTACAATAGATACGTGGACAATCAAATAAATTTTTTTCACTCATTCGGCCGAGAACTTGAAGTTGTTTTGTTGCAAGTAGCTCGCCGAGATGAGATGCCAAAAACGAATTACGGTCGTGCGCCGCCAATCTCGATAAGCAGCGATATGAAAATTCCAAGTGCTCTTACATCGAGATAATTTTTACGTTGTACTGTAATTGAAATTTATTAATCACAAAATTGGTTAACGTGTATTACGTGATGTATTTTTGCGAGAAATATAAGTCTATTTACTATGCCCGTGTACTTTGAGTTATTACCTTTGCACGATTTGTATAAAAAATATTTTAAAAAATATATGTACACACAAGAATTCTGCGAACACATGAATATCATATAGATGAATGGCGAAAAACTAAAGTGTACTATTTTTGTGTGTGTGTATCATGTATAATAACAAGTTGTAACGTTGCAACCAATCCTTAAAAGACACGCCGTCCACGGTCGTTTCGTCGAGTGCCATCGCTTTTTGTACGTCTTGGTTTGTCCTAAAAAATAATTATAATTAATACGACTGCATCAAATTATTTCTACAAATTAACTTACCAAGCACTTAGGACTGCGTTGAAGTGTTTGATCTCTTCTTGTGTCTGATCGCAAACGACTTTGGTGAGGTTCAGCATTTCCAGACTATTATAATAACATTTTTCTCGTGGCGACATTAACTTATCTGTGCACGCAATCTCTGTTGAAGTGGAATTGTGTAGCTTCGTGTAAACTGTATTGGCAGTCACGTTTTTATAACATTCTAGGAGAGAATATATTGGTATTTGTATTGTTGGGAAATAAGGCTTGATCCTCGAGTATTGCGGATTGACGGTCATGATAAAGGCTTTGTCGAGACCACAGACTGCGTGTCTATAAGAAAATTTGTATGATAGTTCTACAATATTAACAAAAAATTTCACATAAAAAGATTGCTAAACCTGTACAGTCCCACATCTCCCTTCAATATTAATTTTCGTAAAGCGTTGAAATCTAAGATATTGTAAAACATGTCCAATTCGATATCCAACGCATTATTCACACAATTTGCATCATAATTGTCGGCCTGTAAGACTACTATTCTCTGCAATTCGTATTGTAGCTTCTCTTTTTCTTTACACATGAGCGTCGGCGTAGAGTTTAAAATTGCTATGGATTGCTGAATGTCCTTTATATATTTGTCCTACAATGCTTGATATCAGTATCGAGAGAATGTACAGAATGAAATATGTTAATACATACTATCTGTGCGTCAACTGTCTCTACGTCAGCCGTTAATCGAGCTATGTCGAGATTGAGCAAAGAATTCTCCTGGATAATGTTCCTCAATTTCTGAATTTCGTTTTGCAAATATGTTTGATCGACTTTTAATTTTTTCACCTCCAGCTTTAAAGCTAACCATGCGCTCACATTTTCATGAGATAACGACTGTAAGACAAAGTATGTATTAACTGTTTCTCATGTTCCTCACTAATTATAATTTCTTTTTTTATAATTTAATGTCTTAAAATATTTTAATTTTCTACCTCTATTAAATCTATAAATTCCATCAAACGTTGTTGGTACATATTAATTTTAGCATTAGACAACATGCGTTTTGATATCATGCATATATATTGACCAGATGCTCTTGCAATACCAATATCTATACTTTCGCCTATTATATTTGAATTGTCAAAGTCATTCTTGGTTTCCAATTTCGTTAATGTGTTCAAATCTTGCGATAGCATTTGATACAAGTGTGTCCATAGTGTGTGTACATCAATATTACTAAGAGAGTTTGATACCTTCGCCCATATCTGTTATTGGAAAATGTTATTCTCAGTATGATTTTATATATGAATATGATTTTATATAATAGTCTGTAAAAGAAATTGACTTGTTTCTTATCTGTGGTTGTATGACGCAGATCTGCTATTATATCCAAATTCTCCCTTAATCTCTGTTGATCTATATCCTTAGAAGTACTTGGCATTAAATGCAGACATACTTGTCTCATGTCACCACAATCTTTCACTTGCTTGCTGGTTTCGCTGTGTTTTAGTTTGAGCAAATTCTTTCTCTTACCAATTAGCGAACACTTACTCTTTATGTCCTTTAATTGTTGCACTAACAATTTTATGAAATTTATTAAAATTACATCAAAATATCCTTGAGATTAATGCATGTTTCATCTTACCTTTTTGCCTAACAATATGATCCTGTTCTTCATATTCTTCTTCCAGTGTGGATATCTGTTGCTTCAGTGCATTATTTTTGTCTTTCAATTGATTGAAATTCCTCACAGATGAAATTGCAGAATCAGTTAATCCATGCTTCAGTTTGCACAGTAAAATATTCTTTCTTATTTTATGTGCTTCAGCTATAGGGAACGTAGAATTGGAAATGTCCTCCCAGAGGAGCTCCAGTACTCCTTTGCATAATCTGATGAATAAGAAGAGTTAAGCAAGACGATAAATAGGATGAGATCCAATAAACAAATATATATAATGAACAAACATTTTCTTCACTGATTCATTGTATGCTGTTGGTGGACATTCAAGCTGGCGAATCCACGCAAAATTATCTGCAATCTCATTCATGATTCTGTTTATGGATAAGAAAATACAATGAATCTATAAATGTTACAATGATTTAACCTTAACATAATAATTTTTACCTAACAGTGAAAAATGTATTAGAAAAGCTATAAAAATATTTAAAACAAATAAAAGTAGAAAAGATTCTTAGATTATGAAAGCAGAAAGTTTTCTAATTTGCAAAAATTATAATCTTGTAAGTATTTTGATTTCATGCAATATATATTTCTTTAACAATATGTAAATAAGCGAAGTAAGTCCTTCATTCATAAAATTTAAATCCATCTTATTAAAATTAAATGCATATTTACATATACACAGGATGAAGCGCAAAAGAAAAAAAGCAAAACTATTTATACCGACGAGTTTTCTTGTCATTTAATCTCAATTGACAGCGCTCGTAGACAACATGTTGTTTTCCCTCGTATGATCCGATGATCATAACATGTTCAAACTCTTTCCATTCTTGAATCCGTTTATTTTACTTGCACTTTCAACCTCGAGCACTTTTCGCGCCTGAAATGAGATGGACGTATATTCAGTTACTGGCGAGAAAGAGAATAAGGAAGCCTGAGTGTAGAAGCAGCTCTGGTAGAAGGTGCAAGTGAAACTAGGGAGAAAAGTAATAAAAGTACAAGAGTGGCGCCTTTTAAATGTTCAAAATGTGAACTACGTAGCTATATCAACTTATCATCAGTCTTGGAAAATGGATGCGTATACCAGAGAGAAACCTGAGAGAGGACATAACGACCTAAAACCTGTAACCACAAAATACTGCCGCGCACTACTGCCCACTGCAAAAGTGGATGTGAACTACATGCCAGATCCACTATTCTGAGGATAACGCATATACTTTTCAAGACTGATGGTAAGTAGATATTCGCGGTTCGTATAATCGTATTCGCGCTACATAAAATGTGGATCAGAATAAATATTCCTCCCTGCAACTACATATATGTATGCTTACTTCCATGCGCGTGATGTTTATTATTAAGCTTAAAAGTATTAACATTAAAGATGTATATTACACCCATTTTTTTTACAAATATGTTAAAATATATCGCGCGTGTTTATATTTTAAATAAGTTATATATACATATATATGATCCCGGCAATTAATTCGCATTTAGAGATTTCAACATTACAGAGCTGCTTTGTGAAGTTGGCACCTTAAATGCGAATATTGGTAAAATCATTATTGCATTCGTTTGTCCAC